TTTATTGGGACTGGAAGTGGGTGACAGAGGAACTTGGGACGTCATTCAAGCAGTATTTGGAAGCAATACCATTACGTTCCCTCCCCTGGTGCATCTGAAATAAGTTCCAGACTCTGGAAACAAGGCTTCTCTTACCGCAAGCAGAACTGTACCGGTTCTCTGTTTTTCAAATTCACATCACAATTCAGGCTCATTGTTTCCTCATCCTCAGCAAAAAAAAAAAACCCTCAGGAATAAATAAGTAAGAGCAGAAGCTGGAGACAGCCCAGAATTAAATTTCTTCCTTTTTCGGCCTGCAGTTTTCACATTAAAAAAAAAAAAATCTTCCCTAAACACTGTAGCTACGTTAGAGGCAGGCTCAGGATACAGAGGATCGCATAGCTACACTCAGCATTTCCCTCAAAAAAAAAACTATAATTTATTTGTGTGATTAGTTCCAGCAACCAGTAATGAAGGAGTTGTATGCTTTAAAAAATAGGACTATTTAGGCAGAAGCAGAAATAGCAGAGGGACTGTTCATTTCCATTACATGACAACCGTATTACCATCAACATGACAGAATCATGAATCAGGAAACCAAAAATCATGAGATCAGCTCAGAAATAACAGACATTGTGTTCTTTTTGTTAGCCCTCTGTTTTTTAATTCTCCAGGAATTCTCCTGTACCTATAAATATGAGAGCTAAAAAATTCATCTTTAAAACTAATAGCTGAGATCTTCAGATAATCCTGCAGAGTACTTTTTTGAAAGCAAGCCTCTAAATAATGAGATATACAACAAAATTGTGAGCATTAGCCGTCTTGCCATCACAGGCTATTTCCTACCTCAGCATCATTTAGAAGGGCTTGACAGGGAACTGAAGCCACATGCAGTTCTTGTTTCAGCTGTCCTTACAGATTGAGCCACTGTCATCAGAGGAAGTGCTGATGACGTTTTTGATAATGACCCAGATGAAAACGTTCAGTACTGAACTGCTGAGAAGTGGTTGCAGCTATGTTGCACAATCCACAACAGCAATATTAGACTGTCCTCCTAAAGTCACAGGAACATTACAGTGTTGGACAATAGTACCTACCGTAACAAGTGATGACATTGAAAACGGAAGGCAAAGCCTTCAGCACTATTTAGTTGAGGGACCAGCAGATCTGCGAGCATTTCTTTATTTCTCTTTTTGAAATCAGAAGTTAAGCTAGACAGTAGGAATTCAGATATTAGGAATGTTGCAGGTCACAATGGTGAGAAGATTCAATGACGAATGTAAATTGGTATTACATGAAGATGAATTGTTGCTTTGATGTCAGGCTCAGTTGAGGGTGGTACTGCTTGCAAACTTCTCTCTTGGGACATCATAGCTCACAGACCCACACTGGTGCTATCCTGTCCATCCCAATTCTCTCTCCACAAGTCCTTGCTGGTGTATATGGACTTATATTGGATTTGCGTGGCAAGGTTTTGGTAGTGGGGGGCTACAGAGGTGGCTTCTGTGAGAAGCTGCTAGAAGCCTCTGGGGCCGATAGAGCCAATGCCAGCCAGCTCCAAGAAGAAACCCACTGCTAGCCAAGGCCAAGCCCATCAGCGACGGTGGTAGTGCCTCTGGGATAATCTGTTTAAGAAGGGTGGGGAAAAACCCCTGCACAAGGAAAACTGTAGGCAGAGAGAGGATTGAGAATGTGTGAGAGAAACAGCTCTGCAGACACCTAGGTCAGTGAAGAAGGAGGGGGAGGAGGTGCTCCAGGCACTGGAGCAGCAATTCCCTTGCAACATATGGTGAAGACCATGGTAAGGCTGTCCCCCTGAAGCCCATGGAGGTTAACGGTGGAGCAGCTATCTGCCTCCACCCCATGGAGGACCCCATGCTGGAGCAGGTGGATGCCCAAAGGAAGCTGTGACATCATGGGAAGCCTGGAGTAGGCTCCTGGCAGGACCTGTGAACCAGTGGAGACAGAGGAGTCCATGCTGGAGCAGGTTTGCTAGCAGGAATTGGGACTCCATGGGGGATCCACTCTGGAGCAGTCTGGGACTGCACAGCAGAGAAGGGACCCACGCTGGAGCAGTTAGTGAAGAACTGCAGCCCATGGGAAGGACTCACATTGGAGAAGTTCGTGGAGGACTGTCTCCTGTGGGACAGACCCCAGGCTGGAGGAGAGGAAGAGTGTGAGGAGTCCTCTCCCTGAGGAGGAAGCAGCAGCAGAGACAACAGGTGATGAACTGACCGCAACCCCCATTCCCCATCCCCCTGCGTCGCTGGAGGGGAGGAGTTGGAGAATTTGGGAGTAAAGTTGAGCCCAGGAAGAAGGGAGGGGTGGGGGAAGGTGTTTGAAGATTCGGTTTTATTTCTCATTACCCTTCTCTGATTTGACTGGTAATAAATTAAATTAATTTCCCCAAATTGAGTCTGTTTTGCCCATGATGGTAACCGGTGAATGATTTCCCCGTCCTTATCTTGACCCACAAACCTTTTGTTATATTTTCTCTCCCCTGTCCAGCTGAGGAGGGGGAGCGATAGAGCGGCTTTGGTGGACACCTGGCATCCAGCCAGGGTCAACCCACCACAGGATTATTCCTGTAAGCTGTACCTCTGTCTCCCAAGATACCTGGAAAAGACAGCGGCCATATAAGCTGCAGTGCTGAATGTCTTTTAATTCCTCATTTACTCTGGAAACTTGGTTCTGCAAAGTTTTTCAAAACTGATTCACAAGAGATCTAATGATTAGAAGCTTCACTGCAACTAGTTTTTATCACCCACACTCTCAAACCCAAAACCTTCTTCCTCTCCTCACATTGTGACCTCTTGTTTTTCCAATCTGACTTGAAACCGAAAACCCTGCTTGAGCCACGTTTGTCTCTTTGACACGCACTCCCTTCAAGTTAATGCAGTTTCTCTGATGGCTGTAAGGCTGCAGACTCCTTTTGAAGCAGGCTTTCTGTCTGTCCAGAAGCGTGCTAATGACAATCAAACATCAATAACAGTAACATCACCCAAAAAGTGAGATAAAAAAAATATTTAACAAAAACAGTCAAACCAATGAAATGTCCTGATAACTGTACTTTCCCAAAAGAGCTAGCTGTACAGCAATATTTTATTTGTTAAAGACAAGCACTCTCCAAGCTCAGATGCACACAGTTCCCAGCCAGGAGTATCTGTCAGACCATCTGGTTTGACCTCCGGGATAGCCAAGGCTCTTGCATTTCTTGACTGCTGAGCTTAAGTGCTTCCTATCACTTGAAACATGGCTTGTGTTTGACTAAAGCCTGACCTTGCATGAAGCATTTAAGCTGGGCTCAGAGACACCAAGAAATGGGTACCGCAATCTTCTCCTCTGCAGTTCGTGCCTGAAGATAATCACTCTGCTGACAGAAAACTGCACCTTATTTCTGTTTGAAGATGTCTTCAGTTTCAGTTAATGCCAGATTAAAGACACTGTTTATATCCTGTTTTTTTCTCCCTGTAAAAATAAGCAAGCTGCAACTAAGTGACCACTAACTCTTCTTTCCAATTAGCTTAACAGATTATTCTCTAAAAGACTGCATTTAAAGTATTTTCAGAAGCTGTTTTCAATTTGGAGCCTTTTTTTCTTGCAGGGTTGTTTTTCAGCACCCTGCATTGCTTTGCCTTAGACATCTAATTCTGCATAGTGGCAAGTCCTTACAACACACCAAGGTTGCAGGGCTCCATGGGAAGACATTGTCGTTTTTCCAGACTTTCAGACAAAGTTTGTCTTCAAGAACCTGGAGGAGTAGAAAACTTTGGGGCCAACTCAGGGAACTTCTGTCACAGCTAACTGTCTTCAAGAACCTGAAGGAATAGAAAACTTTGGGCCAACTCAGGGAACTTCTGTCACAGCTAAGGAGCTATGTGGCAGACACGTGACAAACACTTGCACATGAAATGAAAAGGGAATGGGCAGGTCAGTCCAGCAATGGAAAGGAGACCAAGATATAAACGTTTTTCTTTCCATAACCATCTACTAGAACTGTCATTTCCCGATAAAAATGGGGGAATGGGGAGGGGCCTCTCTCTTCTATCAAAAATAATATTTTGAAGAAGGAAGATTTAGTTTTGTCTGTCAAACAGACTGGCATTACAATGAGCATCTGCTCAGAGCTACTCTGGTGTGAAGTACGAACTCGGGTTTGATGGGTTTTCTGGTGGGTTTCTGGGGGCGATTTTGTGTTTGTTTTGTCTGATTTTGGGGTTTTTTTTTATTTTTTTAATTTTACAATACAAAATTAGGTATATGAGCTTTTTGGATCACATTTTGCTTATAAAAGCAAAGGGCAAACCTTAATAAATCCCTTTGACTTCTATATTTATATCTGCAGTATTATACTTCTGAGTGACTTTAGTCACATAGGTTATTTAACAGGCTAGTATCTCGGTTTCCCCATCCCAGACACTGAGATGTCCTGAGGCTTTTGTTCTTTGTACAACTGATGAGAAAATGTGCTTCATAGACAGGCTTTCACTCCATATTCTTTCATTGCTGATTTTGAGCTTTAATTATTTGCAGATAGAGATATTTTGGAGTATAGGGTAAAGAATAAAGCAAACCTTGCATTCCCATTCAGGCTCAATAACAGTGGAAAACAAAGTTTTGTGCCTCTTCCTGTCTGACTGAAATAAGTAGAAAAGCTACATTAAAAAAACCAAACCAAACCAAAACAATTGGTGAGTGAACATTGCTGGATAAATAAATTTGGAAGGAAAAAAAAAAAAAAGAGAAAGAGAAACTCTTTTTGTGTAAGCAATGTAAAACACGTTATTTTGCTCATTTTTTATATCTGCTAAAACCAGTCCTGACGCAATATGTGAAAAACTCCCTGTTTTTCTTAGCCCATAGATAAAAAGTGTCTTGAGTAGTGACTTGCAACAGGAACCTCATCTGTTGCAAACACTTTGAGCCTTCCTTGTTTCTCAGAGAGGAAGTATGTGGCCTGTTTGGCAAATGCTGCTCTACATGACAGCGTGAACTTCACAACACACTCATTCGACCGGCTGCTCCTCGACTTGATCAGCTAAACCTTGCTGGCAGCATGAGAGCAGTATTATGACTACGGCTTTTTTGAGAAATACTGCAACCTGGAATATCATGCCTAGCATTTAAAGGTAATCATTGCTCTGATACGTTTTAGATTATCTGCATATGGGACCAAATGTTTCAGTTTTATTTATATAAAAGGGAGTTCTACTTCATTAACAATGACAGTATTCAGAACATGGATTTCAAGTACCAGCAAAAGTAGAAATAGAAAAGCCTGCCTTGATCCTTTTCATAAGGAGTGGTACTAAAGATAGAAGGGACAAGAACTGAAAGCTCACAGTAAGACAGACGCATAGCAACTCATGCTGAAGCAAATTGCATTTCACCCAAAATTTGGGCCGACAGACTAGTGGATTTTTTATTCAAAGTGTTAAAAGTTTGCAAATGTGGTATTTGTCTTGTTTCGTAATTGCATGTTTCTGTGAATTACCTTGATTACAGCATTTCGTTGTTCTTTCTAAGCGCAAAGATACAAGTGCCTCAAAGCTGAAAGGATGCTCATTTTGAGCAATGACAAATTAAGGGAAATTCACCAAAACACATACAGCTTCTGAAATCTAAGCTGCTTTTTTTTTTTTTTTCCACATGAAAAATAATAGAATGCTGGTGCTTTCATTTTCAAGCCAAATGGGATTCAGATATTACCTGTGAGCCTTATTGAGAATTATATTTTAAGACCTTGACAGTATAGATGTGAATATCAGGTAACAAAAATAAAATAGGATATAGCATCTCAGGAATGATGAATATCCTAATTTTACTAGTCTGCAGTATTCTTTGCAGAGGGGCTTTGCTCGGGTGCTAATCTTGCCATTTTATTTCTCTTGCTCTTTTATTTCTTTGTTTACTAATTGTCAATCAACTGATGCGAATTTGAAAAAGTTCTTACAAAGCAACGGATTTTCCTATGTGCCGTGCTATTTAACCTCTACAGAATCATGTTTTCTCAGAGAACAGATTCTGTGAGAGGAAATTATTGCTACATGTGCTGCACGCAGGAACAGAAGGTGTAAATTGTACCACAGGTTTTTGGGTCAGTGAGATTCCAGTCTTGACAGGTGAAGAGTTCATATCTGCCGAGAGCTCTGCCACTGATAAACAGGACACAGAGCAGGACTGGGGCCATAGAAGCTTCCTCACCTTCCTTTTGGCAGCAAAAATAAGGCAGTAAAGGTCACTAAACCCCACTACTTGTGTGTTTGGAAACATCTATGGCTGCAGCCACTACCTTTCATTAAACATCATGTGCAGAAGTAGAAAGGGGAGGGGAGGAAGGACCAAAGCCTGGAAGACTACAAATGTGATCTCAATGGTTAAAATCAAATTTCCACACAAGCCTGAGGAGGTGGCCTGTGAGCAGGAAAAGCTGCAGGTAGTTTGGTTTGCAGCCCAGCAGCCCAGCGGTTCCTCGAGCTGAGCAGCAGCTGCACTCCTCCATGCAGGACTTTGGGCTGGTAAGACAAGGTGAGCTTAGAGTCTATTGCTTCTCCTTAATTCTTCCCAAATCACTCTCAGCGTATTATTTTCTTTGGATCTGGCATAATTATCTGCTTCTATGACAGAGGGATGCCACCTCTACTTGTATCCCAAACTGTCACCAAGTTTAAGTGAGATGTGGCGCCTCGAGCAGATTCACCATTGAAAAAGAGTATCACCTATAAAACTGTTATTGTTCTGCTATTGACTTAAATGATAAAGAATCAGCTCAGCTACAAGATGCTCTACAGTTTCCTGTAAGTCTGTTTTTGCAAAGTATCTCAAAATTTCAGAAAATCACCATACAGTTTATCACGTAGCGATACAATGGAGTTGTATTGCACTGCCACTACTCGACACAAGCAAAAGCTACCTAAGGCCTTAAGTTCTATCATTCACTTGAGAGTTACATGCGCTGTTGTTTTAGAAATACTTGTGATACTAATTCATACGCTGTTACTCTAAAAACAGCGACACGCCATCGCCGGCGAGCAAGTAGAAACGCTCTTTTACCCCCCTGCCCCATTTCAAACAAAACTTCCAATTTCTTCCATTTCCATCCCATTTTCAAACGTCGGAGAGCTGAGCCATACCTCTGGGCACTCACTCCACCACCTTTGACCGAACTATAGGCACCTTACTCTGCCCAAATACATAATGACAAGCAGCCTTAGTGGTAAAACCAAGTCTGATATCCATCATTTTCCTTTTAATCACTATGGAGAAGTGAATCAACAGCAGTGTTCATAGGTTTCCATTTGCTTATTTTTATTGAACACTTCTGCCATGAGTCTAGAGAACATCTTGAACTCTGTCCCTTTCAAGATTTTATGCTGTCACCAATGGTAATTAGTGACAGTAAACCAGCATGGAAAATGTAACGAGACACAGCAAACTGTCACGCTAGTGACATCAAAGTCCAAAACGTCATTACTCTTCACTGGTACCGTAAGTACTTTATAACATTTGTATTTTCCGTAAGTCAGATTCTTCCACATCTAAAGTAGCAGCACTGAGCTGCACACCGTCGTGTTGACTTCAGAGGTCCTTTGAGAAGAACGATGATTTGTATATGGCAGAAGTGAGCCAGGCCAGTTTTGGACGTGTACTGCAAAAATACAAAATAGGCCCATGCCTGTGCTCTGGTACTTAATCCATCTGGACTAGACAGCAAGTGGTTTAATTACAAACTACATATAAGCAAACCTTCAAAAATAATGTTTAAAGCAATGTTTAGAGTTTAGACCCCTAAATACCATCTGTGAAAATGAAGGTGCCTTACTCAAATGAGCTGTGGTTTTATAAAGTTTGTAAGTGTGAGGTAAAGTTTTCAGGAGTCTTTCCATCATGTACAAATGTTACGTATCACTTTCCAAAGTGACTAAGGCACACCTGAAAATCGTACCCACTGTATCTTAAAAGTAGGAAAAAAAGCCCTTGAAAGCAGGCTGTCACAAGTCTGATCACTAGTAGGATGACCTGCTCTCCTCCTCAAATAGCAAGACCCAAAATAAAGGGGTACGTAAGGTAGGACTTTATTATTTTTATTTTTCCGTACATTTGTGACACGAAATTCAAGTACTACTCTCGTCTAAATAACAACTGCATGTGTTAAAATTACAGATAGGCATAAGATATTTACACTGCCACACTTGGCACCTATCTGGAATTGCACAAAATTTTTTGTAACTGCAGCTTACTTGCTATCCACTCAGACTTGAACTGCCCTTTTCAAGTACTGCAAAAACGCAGCTACCACAGCACAGGGCTCAGCAGAGATTGTCTGTCCAGCTATTTATCCCACTTCTCTGTCTGACTTTTTCAGCCCTGTTGAGCTCTCTATTGCCATGCCCAGCAAATTTTGCTGGCTCATTCGAAGATGAGCCAGGAGCATGTATAATATCTATAGCCGAAGTACTGGCTGCACTATTCCTATGAGTATATCTCTTATTCTTGATAGGATACAACTAAGAAAAATGTTGACGAAATTAAAATTGGATCTTGGGAAAAAAAAATATTCATGGTTAGTTCAGGAAATTCTAATCTTGCAAGTAGACAGTGCCTACCAAAATGAATTCTGATTTCAGATTTAGAAACTTAGGAGAATGATTTGGTGTTTTCTATCAAGACAGACCCTTTTATTCAAACATGAATACCCAAGTAGTTTATTTAAATTTAAGGTTACTTTTTAATTCAGCTTCTAGACTTCTTCTATCAGGCGATGAAATAGTTTTGTCCTTGTGAAAGCAGATTTCAGACACTTGTCAGAAAGACACTGGCACAGCTGCATCCTACAGATGTGCCACAAGCTAGTTCCTGAGCGCAGACAGTGAAAGGGTAATGTGCCATTTGGCTGGTGAAATAGAGACTTCTAGCAAAGAGCCTTTGGGAACGGGCACTAAGAAGCTTGCAAATCAGATGAGGCAGAGTCAAACTGTGCATTACCATCTGTTTTAGCACTGATCTACTTGCACGTGGTAAGAAATGAATTCTCTTTCTTTTCAACAGCATTTTATTCTGTGGGGTGTCTTCCTAAACCCACTATAAGAGTTAATCTGTGGTATGAAGAAATATCCTCAATTCTGCCAATCTTATTCCGAAAGACAATTAGTAATAACATCTCACTGACTTCCCCAGTACTGATTCTGAAGTTAGATACCTCTCCAGCTAACACCATCAGGCTCCAGCCTGTTGTAAGTAAAGAGCAGCATACCAAAGGCAGTAATCAACGTTTTGAAATATTTAAGCTAGAAAAGACTGAAAGATGCAGAATACCCACATGATGCTGCTAGAGCTCCTGTTACCATATTCACAGGGCAATTGACAGAATTACATTTAAAATAAATAATTACCTATCAGCTAGTGGTGTTATTTTGCTTTAATGTACAATTTCAAACAGATATAGCTTCTTCTTCTCTGCCTCTGAAAATATACTATAGCACCAGACACTCTCCACATCAAAAGGGTTTTTCTCTCTGCCCTCTGCCAGGGACAATTAGGATGGGCGTAGTAAAGCCATGAGAAGGAACTGTCCCTCTTACAGTATTTAGTTCCACGATTGTCTGATACTGTTTCTTGTACATCCACCAAGACTCTTTAAGACAAGTATCTCAAGAATTTGCACCACTGGCTTTATGCAGGTTGAGTGTTTTGAGATCAAACATTTTAAGGCAAGGTGTTACTTTAAAAAAAGAAGAAAAAAGAAAAAAAGAGGTAAAACAACATTGTCCACCTTCATTGAGAGCACAACCGCATCAGAAAAACCCCCACCGAACTATGTTCTTAGTGTTTGGCAATAAAGAGACATCATATACACACAGATACGTCAATCTAATTAATTTCTTTGTAGAATCAGAACTCCAAATGTTGTGAAGAACGTTTTGTATATGAAAAGGCTGTATGGCCATGGCTTTCTGTGACTTCCTATTGTGCTGAGGTACTGGTAACGGAAACTTTTACTACATTGCGTTCTTCTGAGCAACTTCCCTAGCTGTGGTTTTCTGCTAGTCCCCTGATAAAAGCACCAAAGTGGTGAGAGTTTAGCAAGTATGTAAAACTCTCACATGAATTTGACACAAGAGTTCTCAAAAGCAAAACTGTATAAAATTGGAGACACCCAAACTGGGTCATTTCTCATCTGTTGGCACAGCAGGTGTTATTCTGATGTTTCATTTCAGTGTCTCCTTTGATTTAGTTCTGGAGAGCTTTGACGGAATTAGCAAGCGCAATGGGAAATACTGTGAAAACACCGAGAGCCTCCGAAGAAGCAAATGCGCCGAGCCAAACGGGTAAGCGCTCATTTAATGTCTTTCAAGAGAAAAAGATGTTCAAAATATATGGTACGTTTATCCATGCGTCTTCCTTCATCCACCTGACATAGTAAAAGCAGGCAAGTGCATGACTGCTGTGGGAGAAGAAGGGCATCCTCTAGACAGTACTTATTTTTAGGTACAGTCTAGCTCATTTTCCAAGCAGTACTTTAATTAAAAAACCCAAATGTTAAAACTATTATTTGATGGTGCTCCTTGAAAGATACCCCTTCCGATTCAGAAAGCACTGGGGCACTACTTCAGAAAGCAGAAATACTGTTTTTTGACATACTCGCTTGTAATATTTTATAGAAAGCTGTTCTTTAAATTTGCTTTTGCTTCATTTAAGCAAAAATGACGATGTTATGATGCACTTGATGATCTTATGCTTGCACTGAATCTGAAGGCCACTGCTAGACAGTTGCATTAAAAGTAGCATGCAGCTGACTTGTTATCAGGTTTATCAATAAAGGTTCTATAGAAACAGACATTTCGCAGGCCAAGCTGCCAAAGGGGGATGCCCTATGCACCCACACGTGAAAAAATCAGGTTGCAGAGCACCACCCCGAAGCCTGGTATAGGTCATGCATCTGAGGGGGAAAGCAAGAGGGATTCAACGACCTGCTGCTCCCAAACTCCACATGAGCAGAGAGTTAGTACAGCCTCACCTCTCGTGCCGCAATATGCCAGACAGCTGGTACAAGAGCTGCCATAAATCACCCCCCGAAGGTGAGGAAGAGAAAACAGTTTGGGGAGGGTTGTTTCGGGCTTTGGTTTTTAGGTTGTGGGGTTTTTTTTAGAGGGGGAAAGCATAAATCAAAATTTTTGGGTTTTCCATGAAAGACAGTCCAGTTGAGCTGCTCATTATTATAAGGACAGGGAATCAGCCTGGTTTCATTAGTGCTGGAAGGAAACCCAGCCCTGCTTTTAGCATGGTCAAGAATAAGCTGATATAGGAAGCTGTGTAGCCCTAGGTCCTAATAAAGCAGAGGCAAAATACTGTTCATGGCTACTCAGAGGCCCATAATATGAACTGACAATTTGTTGTTTCTGTGAAGAAGGGTGCCTTATGTTGATATTCCCAACAACTGCTGTCATGAATACCGTAACCATCAAAACAGAGACGTGCATGCTCTCAGAGCAGGACTGGGCGATGAGCAGGGGAGCGAGGGGTCGCTGCCATAGCTGTGACCAAGTTTATATTGTTCTTGCACATGCACAGTCAGGATTTAGCAGGGCTAAAGCCAACTGCATCTCTTCCAGTGACTTGAATAGAACATACCCCTAAAAGATAGCTCAGCAAACATTGATAGCACAGCAATTGCAAGGGGAAATTACCCATTCAGGAATTAAGGGTTCAATCAACTTGCACTCTCCTACACATCTAGCACATCTAGAAAGACGCTTTGTCAGATCTTGCCTGACCTGCTGCCACTTGGGGAGAGAACAAGTCTCCCATAGCTGCAGTGTCATTTGCCAAGGCCTTAGGGATGTCTCAGACACTTGCACAGCTGAAATTGCGCTGGATACCTATGTTTAAGCACCCCAAGGCAGGTTTTTTGCCACAGAAATTATCAAAGTGATGGAACACTTCTGTGAAGGAAGGCTGAGAGAGTTTGGGTTGTTCAGCCTGGAGAAGAGAAGGCTCTGGGGAGACCTTAGAGCGGCCTTTCAGTACTTAAAGGGGGCCTATAAGAGAGATGGGGACAGAATTTTTAGTAGTGCCTGTAGCAATAGGACAAGTGAAATGGTTTTAAACTAAAAGAGGGAAGATTTAGACTAGATATAAGGAAGACATTTTTTATAATGAGGGTGGTGAAACACTGGAACAGGTTGCCCAGAGAGGTGGTAGAAGCCCCAACCCTGGAAACATTCAAAGTCAGGTTGAATGGGGCTCTGAGCCACCTGATCCAGCTAAAGATGTCCCTACTCACTGCAAGGGTGTTGGACTAGATGCCCTTTAAAGGCCCCTTCCAACCCAAACTATTCTATGATTCTGTGAGTCTATGACTCTGTGATTTAACAGCCTGCATATCTCTTTGGATCTAAATCTTCATCTGGATCAGACTAGCATCTTTCATAAGAGCTTAGATGTTGCTAACTAAAGTTGGGAATACAAGCAGCAGTACTGTCATCTAAATCCAATGGAAACAGAGTTTTGAAAAGGAACTTGGTACTAAAAGCATCTATTAGGGTTAATACAGTGAGTTTGTATCTATTTGTCTTCCTGAGCCCGTCAAACTCCAAATCACATCACCAAACATGGAAGACTTCCCCCAGGCCAGGAATAGCCATCTTTTGAGTTAAGTGAGGTGGAGGATCTAATCCACAGACTTACAACAGTCCAAATAGTTATTAGGAAAAGCAGGTTCTACCCCGGCTTACTTCAGTGAGACTGAATAAAATGAAGGACTGAAACAGAAGGGAAAGAAAGAAAGGACGGAAAGAATATCCAACAAGAAGGGGGAAGAAAACTGATAATTGGAGTCTGCAGACTTGATGTGCAGTGTGAATGTGCCCATCAAATCCCTATAAGCCCCTCGTGCTGCCTGAGAGCTGAACTGAAAGCAAAAACTTGTGCTTTCCTCACCTCCAGGGCATCAGTCTTGGTCCTGAGAAAAGGAACGGTGCATAAACTGCATTTCCCAAGGAGGCATTTGGACTCCAGTATGGCTGCACTCCGTCTGAAAGCACACTGTATGGGCATCCCTGGCATAACCTAGGTACTGATAAGAGCAGCTACAGCAGCAAAGAATCACCAGGGGTTGTGAGCCCACCTCCTCCTCCTTCCTTCCTTGGGACCCTGAATCAAGAGTTAATCCTTACTGAGCTGCACCTGCATAACTCTCAGTTCCCAAGCTGGCTGGTTTAGATCTAATTTGGGTACACCAGTGCAACTCTGCAGCCACACCTTACGGCTGCTGCACAGCCAGCCCCTGAGGCACACATGAGTGCCCTCCTTTACCCTCTCTGGTGTACGCCACACCATAACTCATAGTATTTCTGCTGGGCAGTAAAGCTGGGCTGATGCAGGGAGCTGAGCTCTGAGCGGGTCATTTCCACGCCAGACAGGGACCACACTGGTGCACAACACAGTGTTTTTTGATGTCTGCATCGCTGGGTATCTTGCAAAATGTGAGACTGAAAATTGCATGCTTTAAATTATTCATTGTGAGTGGACTACAAAGCACTATCGGAGAGAAGGGAGAGCATAGGCAGAACATCCAGATCCAGCTCATTACCCTCAAAAAACTCACAACGAATAATTTGAAGCATGCAATTTTCAGTCTCACATTTTGCAAGATACCCAGCGATGCAGACATCTAAAACTAGTATGTACTTCATATTAATTTTCCTACTCCTAAAGAAAAAAAAGAAAAACAGAATTAACACCTGATTCAGTGGAATTGACTGTACTTTGATCTTTCCACTCTAACTTTTGAGTTGTTCCATTTCAGATGTAACCTACACTCGCACTGCAGAGGAGAGGTTGTGTTAGAAAAACTCAGGCAAACCTTTTTTCTTTTACAACGTAAAAGTGTGGGGAGAACATCAGATCAAATCTATTAGATCACTGTGAAACTTAGGCGTGGAGAAAACATTTGTTTAGTCCCTGTTTTGAGGCTTTTGTGTTTGAAAGGAACTAGTATGTGTTCTCTGAAATGTTGTAGAGTGCGGTGGGGTATTTTATGTGACCAAAAAAACCCAGTGAGGTTTGATTTAAATACTAATTAAAATGAGGTCTCATTTGTGGAGTAGGAGGGTTGAAAGGTTTTGGGTAGTACAAAACCCCTTTACTTTCACTCTAATATAAGTACATGTAGATTAAGAGGTAACGTTTGCATGGATGTGGCAGCCAACACTATGATTAATTCCTTCCTTTTCAGAACTACAAATTAATGTGCAAAATTGAAACAAAAACGAATATAAAGATGAAAGTGTAAGCAAAGTAACACAGATCTTCCTAGAGCAGAGAAAAAGTCACGTACCCCACAGTGCATAACAAAATGCAAACCACCGGTACACAGGGAAGGAGAGTAGAAAAAGCACTTGTTTTCTACACTTACAGTACAGAAACAAAACATCTATAAATAAATGGCTTAAGTTCAAAAAAAAAAAATCATTGCTAAAGACATTATCATTAAGCTAAAAAAAAAAAAAAGACATTCTGTGTAGAACTGCTGTCTAACAATCTGCAATGAGAAATCAGGTGACGGCACTTTATCCTCATTCTGCAGTTCTTACAATGTACCTTCTGGCACGTATTTCTTGTCATCCTGAGTGAAGATTTTGCTTTGTTGAAAAAGACCGAGCAACAATACTTGGTTCTTGTTAGCCTCAGGTACTAAGCAGTTTCATAGAGAGAGGTGTCTCTTAATTTTTAGTGCAGAACAGGGAAGCAAAGGCACGCTTCGCACAGAATTTCTTCAGTATAGTTGAACTAATTGTATAATAAGTTACAGTAGATTAATCACAGCAGCTGGCTGATTAATACAAACGTCCTGGACTAGTCCTGTTTAATACAGTGACACTAATCAACTGAGAAAACCATGGCAATACGGATACTAAACACACTTTCAAACTAATCAATGTTCGTTCCAGACTCTACACATCTATGTATCCATAAGGATTCTCACTAACTGTGTCATGGGGCTATTTCAATGGGCAAAGGCTAGCAAGACTAAAAATGCTTACAGTCAGTTTGAATATTAAGGTAAAATGACCCACTACTTTGATTAACACAAGTCCCTATAACATAACAAAAAACAGCTACTCAAAATCCACTGAGAAAACACCGCTTTTTGTGTCCTTTAAACCGCAGATGTGGAATATTTTCCTTAACACTTATATTCTCATTATCACTGCCATAAGGATAACAAGTGTAAAAATCTCTCCTCTTGAAAATATTTATTTTCTGCAGACTTGCATGTTTCCTTCAGCCTTTCATCGTTATCACAGTAAGTTAATTGTAAGGCCCTGGGACACAGAGGCTGAAAACACAGAGTCAGTCTCAGCATTCATCCAGGATGCCCTTTCCAGGTTTCCCTAAAAAAAATTGTCTTCCCTAAAGACAAGTTGATGTGGAACCTATACTAAATGAGAAAATCTAACAAGATGCAGAAGCGTGTCAATCTCTCTGGGTAATTTTCTCTCCAGGTAATTTTCTCTCCTCCCCTGAATTCATTCCCATTTTTGCACATGTCAAGCCGCACAGAGTAGGTGAGTGGAGATCAAACCACTCTGCAAGCATACTGCTAGATGGTATTACTAAGGAATGGGGCACTGATCCTGCCGGAGGCAGAGGCAAAGCTTTGTCTCCCAGTGTGCCGGTGGCGGGTGCTGTGATGTGCAGAGGGAAAAGACCCACTTCCAGAAGAAACGTAGGCAGCGTATTGCACAATCCCTCTTACCAGGACTTCTTCCAAAGAGCTCAAACCACCCAGCGTGACGTGTTTCTGAATGTCCCACCTGTCAGCATTTACTGGGCACCACAGATTCCTGCTGGATGAGAGCTCTTGAACATTTGATAGCCCCAGTCTTGTGCAAAGTGCCTCCTCCAACCTTCAGAATCCCAACTGATGTAAAAGGTCTTATCTCTTCACTGACTTCAGTTCTGCAAATTGCAGTTGTATGACGATTTAATTACAAACACCCATGTTGCCTCTCTTCTTTAACTGAAGATAGGGGCATCGTGCTGTCTCTAGTACAGCTTCCACACAAGGCGACAGAACAAAGCGCTCTGGCTGTCGAACAAGCTAATTTTAAAGTGATGGGAAGTGGACAATTATGGCCACGCTCCCATTGCCCTTGATCTAAACTAATCTCATACCTTTGAAAAGTATCAGTGGTGTTAAATGATGGAACAATTCAACACGTGTCTTCCTTTCCTTACATGTAATGCATCAGCTTGGCTCAAAATTGTAGCTGTAGGCATTTAGAGAGGGTGGCATTAATCAAACTGGGTTACTTCCTAATACTATAAATACATACTAATTCTGCTAGTTTCAAACTGAATATGTCCTTTAAATATGGTAATTACTAGAAAAAGTGGTCCAAATTTAGTTGCTTACAAATAACCAAATGACTTTTTTCATTTTTAATAGCTTCACATTCTTCTTATAAGGTTATAGACTCGTCTTTAGCTCTTTATGTTTACCAAGTGACATTTCAGAGTGAGATTTTTTTCACATTTGACCTACCATGTAAAATATAACATACGTAATGAAAAATCCATTTCTGCTTTAGATCTCTATCTTGTTCTTAAGTGATATTTTCTTTCTTCTTTAACAGGCCAGGAAAGTGATTTCCTTGCTGTCCTCTACGACTACCCTTCAGCAGACATAAGCCAACCTATATTTCACGTAGGGGAAAAACTACGTGTGCTATCAGAGTAAGTTGATCCATTTTTTTTAAATTAGGTTTTGTTGCAATTGATGCAAAGCTCTGGTTTATGCACCTGGCTCAAACTGGATGCAGTTCAGCAAAATGAACCAAGTTCAGAATTTTCAACAAAGGACACTTAGCCATGGTGTAAATTTCCCTGTGGATTAAGGATTTGGGATTTCAGACGGCTCCTTGATCCTTGGATTCCTCTGACACTGATTGTGAAGCTGGATTCAGACTCTATTCTAAAGCAGGACTCAAAACAGAATTCTGCTTTGATAAATGATTTTGAGAAAGTATTCCCCCTGTGTCAGTGGAAAACAAAGTAAAAGCAAAAAGAGTCTCAATAACATAGAAGAGAAAAATTGTTCTGAATTTCTCTATGTCAGGTGTCTCATTTTTTCTCTAACCCTTTTTATCCAACTCCTTTACGATTAGGTCTTAGTATTCCTCCCTAGATTTGAGGCAACTCTTACAAAAATTAAATAAAAAATAGTGGGTTTTTTTTTTTTTTTCTTCTTAAATTTTTTTATTGATTCTGCATTTTCTTAGCGGGGGAAAAAAAAGGTTGAAGATTTCCCAGCCAGCTCCACTGAAAAAGTTATGAGCCCTAGAAGGAAGTGGGCTTAAGAGCACTAGTTCAGACTGACCCTAAGCATAGTGCACATATTGCCACACACAGAGTGAGCACGCTTCTTGAAAAATAGGAGCCAGCAGCCCTGATATTCTTTTATGCACAACTTGTATCGGCACACAGTGACCTCCTAGGAGTCACTCAGACCGGCGGCCACTGTTTGCACTGCTTAAACAGAAATGAAAGATTTCATTTTTGCAGCTGGTGGAGCAGACGGATTCAAGGGGAGACCAGACACAGTTATAGCACAGAAATCCCCTGAAGATTTATAAATTCATAAAAATATTCTCTACATGAGGAAGTCAGAGCTTCAAATATTTAGAGAACAGAAGTACTCAAGAGAAGTATCATCAATGACTGATGAACTCTCAGACTCTTCTCCAGGCCACATGACCTACAATGGCCTTTGTCACCAACAAGATATGGGGCTACATGGACCTTTGGTCTGACCCAGAATGGTTGCAGTTATGCTCTGCTGACAATGTGCCTTCCCTGCACCTAGTGGTCACATTGTTCAGAAGATACCACTAGATGAATTTTCTGCTGATGGAAAGCTTCCCTAAATGAGGGGAATTCTTCTCTGATAACGTCTAGCTGTTTAAACCTTGCAGCAGTTTGCGTAACACACATGGCATTGTACAACAACTGCTTTAGCTTGGCAATCCCAGCTTAAAGCCTCACTCCCAGCCTGCAGCTGATACAAGCCTTCACAATACCACATAACTCCATATGCCTGTAACAATGGGAATTATATGTGTGGCATATCATATGCATACATGTGCTGCATAGTATGATCTACTGGACAAATAACTTCTAAAAGAACTAGGCTTCTGTAGCAGCAGTGTTTATCATATTTGTCTGTTGTGCAGTGATCAAGAGCTTCTCCTGACAGTAAATAAGGGCCAAAGCAAGCCTTGATGAGAACTTTCCTCTCCTTTTTTGAATCAGCTCATTCACAGAAGACAAGACACTCCAATGCTCCATGGTGTCCTAATGAAGGACCTGTTCTTCCCTAGTGGGGTATGTGCTGATGTTAATAGGAACTGTTTGCCTGTAGACTCTTGCTGTAGGTGTAACCTTTCACAATTCATCCAAAGAAGCAAAATGCAGTGGAAGAGAAAAGCAGCATGGCAGGCACGACCAGAGCACGAGTAATGAGGAGTCACCACGGAGAAGCCAGCATGAGCAGGCAGCACGTACTGCTTTTGTAACGGCAGAGTTTCAGCCTTCTACCAAAGCAATTATGCGTAATGGCAATCAGCCCCACCAATCCTGCCAGGAACACGATATAGGGAACTCACATAGAAAGTACAACTCCTCCCAGACACTTGTGGGTGCTCTGGGTTGGCAGGATTAGATAAGCACCGCTAGCACAGTTTCTCACTCTCCACACTTGTCAGGCCCCTTTCGTTACCAGATGAACAACTGCATTTAGCTGGCAGTAGTCAAACCAGATGTCCTCCAGTGATCCCCCCAAATCTACATAATTTCTGTGTCTCCTGCCCCAGGAGAGATGTGATGCTTTGGGACTTTTAATCATGATAGGGATTTTTCAGGGTTAGTAATATTACATTTTGGAGGGAGGGAGATGCTGAGACTCTCAGGTTTTTTGTTATTGCAATTCTTGTTTCTGTCTGGGAGAGGTGCCAGGAAAAAAAAAAAAAACAAAAAAAACAACAAAATAACCTCAACTTCTTATAGGTAGTTTCATGTCAGCTGGAAACCCACAAACAAAAGTTGTGGGGCCCTGAAATTTCCAGCTCAGAGCAGTAGACACTTCCCTTTTTCCCTTGGCATATACATTCTAGACCATGGTCCCAGTGGCTATAACTTAGGAGGTTTAACCTAAGCGTCTCCAACTCAGCTGTTTTGCCATACACTGAGACTCTGGTCTGCAGTCTGGGCATTATTTGGGAACATTTATATCAACATCCACAAAACCAGCATTCAAATGCAAGACAAAAATGCAAGTTGGATTCAAACTTTTAAAGGAAAAGATGGAGAGAACCCATCAATCATCAGCATCCTTGCACTAATCACTAAAGCTCCGCAGCATCCCTGTGAAAATTCTTCTTACCCTGCCCTTCCTAAGGGATCCAAAAGCCAAAGCCAGCATTCAGTATCACAGCAAGAACCTAAGATATTTCAGTGAAAAAACAGATCTAGTCACCTAGTTTCAGCTATGAGGTCTTTTTTTATTGGAGTCTGGTCAGCAACTCATTGAAGAAAAGGAAAAGAGCAAATCATGAAGTAGGTTCTGTTAGACTGAAAACCTGTTCCTGGGCAGACAGGATCCATTCGCTGAGTATCTCTACCCTGATATTACAGGAGTGACTACAGGGCTGTCCAGACACAGCATACTCAGCCATAAGCTGAATATCTTGGATACCAGTACAAGTCTAGCTGTGGGAAGGCAGCGCACAGCATGGTTCAACCACTGAGTATTTACCCTTCTTCTTTTAACTACAGAAAAATATTTTATGACTTACGTAATTTAAATGGAACAAATGTAGCTTATTTCTGTGTCCAAATTTAATCCTGATGTAGGTTTACAAATGGAACTATTCTAAATGAAGCAAACTTGGGTCCCTTTCTGAATACGTAGATTCAGCAACACAGTCAGAAGGTTACAGTCTAATCCGGATGTCTTAACTAAGTTCTAAAACGAGGACAAGTTCTGAAAGTACATCTGAAAATATCCCTTTCTTCTGCTTTCACACAGTGAAGGAGGCTGGTGGAGAGTCCATTCCCTTACAACAGGTCGAGAAAATTATATTCCAGGAAAATATGTAGCAAAAGTTTACCATGGGTAAGTAAATGCATTTTGTATAGCCTTTCAACACTACATTTCAACATATACTGCCCTGATTAGTTACTCAGCGTCATAAGCAAAACAATGCCAATAGTGACTAAACAGAAATTTTATTTATTGACAGTCTGAAATAGTTCCTTTGAAATTTGAGAACATCAAATCCACATCTAAGTTTAGATCATATGAAAATGAAAATCCTAGTTTTAAATGCTAGGAAGGGTCAAAAACCCCTCAAATGCCATATAAGACATTTAAAATACTTCTGTTGCATGGTCTGATCTCTATTTTTACGACATTGATAAAGAGACCCTCTTTAGAAAGAATTGTTAATATTTACAGAGTAAAATTTAAGCTACAGTTCCTCATGAAAAACAGAACAAAAAGAACAAATAGAAAGACTAGTAAGTCATTCAAGAATGTAAACTCTCAAACTGGAAGAGCTAAAGTATGTTCAGAGGTTTCTTGTTGCCCTAGACACCGGTCAGGAAAAAAATGTTAAAGCACACAGTGAAAAGTTTTCTGGCAAAAGTTTTAATACGTGTTTAAGTATATGAACTGTGAACTTCACTATGATTTATGCAAGTGCTTAAATTTTAATACGCTTTTATATCCTCCTGAAATAGAGATGCCTTCCCAATGACAAGGCACAGATGCGGCAATGGAAGCTACTGTCTGAAGCTTCCCCAAGACCATTTTGCTGATAGCAAACTGGATCAAATGCACAAGAACGACTTTAAAATAAAGTGCCAGTAACTCCTACGCCAGCCGAGCAAGCTCAGTTACATGGTTAGACACTAGCTGTGGCAAAGTACAGCAGTGCACCAAGCTATGGTGAAAATCAGTAGGAGTAATTCCACTTTCCTTTATTCACAAAGCCAATTAACTTAAATGGCTGAACTGTTCCCTAGCATAAGCAGAATAATTGTCTTTTACTTTGGGTTTATTTACAATAAAATAAAATACAGTTTGGGGTCAACAAAAGTGGTTTAAATGAAAAAGAGAGATTTAACTAATGCTACAGATAGGCCATGAACAAATCACATGGATATGTCTCCAACAATTCAGATCAAGGCAGCTCAAAAAGTTTTGTTTTCCCTAATAAGTCCAAACCTTATTCACTCTTCTCTGAGTCCCACAAAAGTTAATGGAACTCAAAAAGAGCAAGATTTTCTCCATAAACTGGGGAAATATGCCTGGACATAGTTGAGAGAATAACTACAGAAAGCCACAGTGCTGTTTTTGCAGTCACTTTTCCTGGCTAATGCTGCACTTTCACGGCCACATGCTGCTCTGTTTCACTGGTGTCCAAATTTCAGAATTTGTTTTTTCCTGCTTCACAGCTGGTTATTTGAAGGGCTGGGAAGAGAAAAAGCAGAGGAACTTCTACAGCTACCCAACACTAAGGTTGGCTCCTTCATGATCAGAGAGAGCGAAACTAGGAAAGGTGAGAAAATATATTTTTTTTTTTCCCCCCTTGATCTCGGGCATTAACAGTTCTACAGCTCTTCAGTTCACTCCCTGTCCTGTGCATCATGCCAGTCTTTATCAGTCACCTACGTTACAAGTGCTGGAGACAGGGTTAGCGATGGCCGTGGAAAGTTCCACAGGCACCAGCACAAACAAGACACCGTTGTTTAAACACTATTATTTACTTTGCTTGCATGCAAAGCTTATTAGGCAGCGAGACTTTTCAAATGGGGGAAAAGTTACAGCTTTGCCTTGATCCACAAAAGATTGCCTGAAGAAGCTATAAAATACACATCAAGCAGCGGGCGTGGCTGATAAGTGCATTTCCTATATAAACAGGTGGTTCTTTTATTTACTTTTTAAAAATGACATGCCTTCAATTTTATTTTCTATCATAGATTCTGTTGCTACATGGGAATTGTACCGTACACACTTTACCCTTTTATTCTCTTCTGTGGGAATTTATCTCCTATTGTGCAACGTGCTATCTTCCCTTTTTCTGAAGCACCAGAACACATTCTAATATCATGATACGACAGTTAGAAGGGAGTAATAAATCATCTACTCTGACCCCTTGCATACCACAAGCCAATTAGTTTCGTAATACCTATACTGAATTCAAAGGAATTTAGGATCAACATTCAGTCCTTACCAACTAAACACTGAACAATAGTTTTAATCAAAGAAACAGGAAAATCCAAGTTGTCATCTCCTGCCAGGACTGCATTATCAGCTATTAGCTACTGCATTATTGGGAGCTGACTAAATCAGCATGCCAGCACATGAGTCTGGTCACCCTCTTCAGAAGAAGGCAAACAACTTCTGTAAAGGCCTATTTCCTTTATACCATTTAAAAAAAAAACCCAGATCAGCAAAAATAAAGGAAAAACACACCAGAAATTTAAATTCAATAAAAATCTCAGGCCCTGATGTTTATTCCCTTTGTTATACTTAAGTATATGTATAAAGTATGCCATATAAGTAGAAATTAAGATGGACACTCAGGGTTTTTTCAGATCTTTCTGGGACCTTTTGGATCATGGCACTACATCTTACAGATACTCTGGTTGTGGTCACTGCTATCCATCCAGAATTAGCGTCCTATTTTGGTGTAATTAGTGCTCCTCTTTCTCCAGGGTTATATTCCTTGTCCGTGCGGCACCGGCAAGTGAAACATTACAGGATCTTCCGCCTTCCAAATAACTGGTATTACATCTCTCCACGGCAAACTTTTCAGTGCCTTGAAGATCTTGTGAATCACTACTCAGGTAAAAAGAACTGCAGAACAAACGTATTTTCCACTGGCAAGTGTAAAACTATCTATCAAACGTCCAGAACCAGAAGTTTTGTCTATGTCCAAGACTTGCAACTACGGCCACAGAACAAGTAATGGAAAAACTTTTGGTTTATCTCTTTTACTTTATTTATGATCCTAAATACAAATACGTCACCCTTAACAGTACAACTGAAATCAACCTAAGGACTCAGCTAAATAAAGACAGACAGGCTCTGCCCATATCGGTATATGATACTGTATGGCCATGTCAATAACACTATTTGGTCCAAATACTTGTGTCTGGCACTTCCCTAGACAACTTTCAAATACAGCTTGGAGGTTAGCACAGGAGATGTCCAGCCCTTCTCAGAGCATGACTAAAGTCAAAGCTTGGGTGTACAAAAATACTAAGCTGTACAAATGCAAGTCATGGTTCTGGATCCCAGGGCCAAAGTTCAGCTCCCGGCTGACTTTGTTTACCAGCAGGACATGTCTGATGTTTATTTATTTACCATATAGCGTCAGGACATGCAAGACCTGGTTCTGCAACCACGATTCTCTTAGGAACCACTACACCACACAACCTTATCTGTAGCAGAAAACCATAGAATCATAGAATCCTTCAGGCTGGAAAAGACCTTTGAGATCATGGAGTCCAACCATCAACACTACTTTACCAAGTACACCCCTAAACCACATCTCCAAGCACCACATCAAAATGACCTTTAAACACATTCAGGGATGGTGACTCAACCACCTCCCTGGGCAGCCCATCCCGATGTCTGACAACCTTTTCAGTAAAAAAATTCTCCTAATGTAAATCCTAAACCTACCCTGGTGCAGCCTGAGTCCATTCTCTGTTGTTCTGTCATTAATTACCTGTGAGAAGAGACCAGCACCTACCTCTCTACAAAATTAATTTAGAAAAGTATGGCTGGATTTTATCAGCAGAAGTTATCTCAAGGGGCTTAAGCTGTTAGCTCAAATCTAGATTCAGCTGTCATTTTTAGCAATATCAGTCCACTGGATGATACCTGTTTCAATGATAGTTTTCCAGGTTTACGGCAATTTAACCTGTGTCAGAGGCATAACTTGACAAATGACACAATTAAGCGGCTGCAGTTACCATGCATTAAAATGAGAACAGTTTAAAATGAGGAAGGAAGATTACAAAAAGTCAATTGTATAAAAGTTATTAGAGAACAATAGATGCTGTGCTGTAATTAGTAACGGGTACTCTGTAATTTTAAAAGTGTAAAGCTACCATATCTGCATATTTCATAGGTAAATGAAAAAGTGTGATGGCCAAAGAATACTCCGATAAACTGAAGAGAAAAGCCATATTCACATTCAAAACATGCAAAAGAAACTTTCAAGTCCAATGATATGAACAGAGGAGTGACAATTTGGACAGCTTTTTTTTTTTTTTTTTTTTTTTTTTCTTAAATCTTAGTTAGCTGACACCTTTCTCCATTTAGAAAGAAGCAAAAAATGGAAGCCTAAAATTGGGGGGGGATGGGATGGGGCAGGATGACATGACACCAAAATTTATAACAATTAACATTTTTACTTGAGTTACACGTACAAGAGGAGACATAGTGAGATTTAGCTCTCCTCCTTCCCCCACCATGAGATGATACAGAATCTCACCCTGAAATAAGGCTCAGAGATGTAAAACACCAGCATTCGGCCATGACGTTCTCTACTTGGGCAGAACAACATACACAATGTTCCTAGTGGAGCAAGGAGAAGAGGGTAGAGAGAAGACACGTAGATGAAATTAAATGAATCAAGGTGAGCCTCGATTCATTTCACAGCCATGTTGCACAGCAGAATAGGTGCACATACAATCCAACCTGAGTGATTGCTCCTTGCATCTATTTTGTTGGCATGGCTGAGATAATGGGAGGCAAAAGCAGAACTCACTAAGGACTCCAAAAACCTAGGTTTAAGTTCCTGCCCTGTCATGATCTTCCTTCTAGACTTTGAGCAAGTCCCTTTACCTTTCTGTGTCACAGTTCCTCACTTGTACTGTAGGAAATACACCCCATGACAAATCAAAAGGCAAAGGTGTGAGGAAAGGAAAAATGTAAGCCTGCGTTACAGTGTCCTTGCTGAGAACACACAGTTTAATTTATTGACTACTATTACATGTCCAAATCTGTTTATCTGAGCATGCACCAGGGAAGGAAAACAGTGAAGATAACAGCGAGCAAAGATTAACTGTCTGTGTATTCACTTCCCTGCTCAGAAGTCGCTGACGGTCTTTGCTGCGTCCTTACAACACCTTGTCTTACCCAGTGCACTAACAACAACAGCGTGACAAATCAAGTTCCTCCTGTGGTGATGCGGAATAAAAACTTCAACTGGAGAAATATTCACAGGTACCACATGCAACACAGGCTGCCAGAAACAACGCCTTTTTTTTCCAGCCTTGGATATACTTGTACTTACAACACAGATGAAACAGCCTTTTCCCTTCTCCTGAGACCAGTTTTAAAGATTAGACAGTCTTCAAAGCTGCTGACAGCAGGTTAACCCATGAAAACTGGATGTCCCTCTCTCTAACCAATAATCTTGGTGTAACTTTAAAAGAAAGTATAGTTAACATTCAACCATTTCTCCTACTCAGCTAAGAGCGTGGCCACATATGCAGTCCCTTTGGGACTCATGAGTCCTCTCCACCAAGGAGGCAGGAGTAAAAGCCAGTCCATAAAGCCTAGTCAGATCCACGACCAACGGCATACTAACTTGCAGTGACTTACAGGGGAGCCCCCATAGTCAGAAATGGCTCCCCCTTGCTCACGTGGTGGCCATCATGAAGCAGCACAAGTGCAATGAACACATTATCCCAGCATAAGTCTTTCCTGCCGTGTCTCTCTCAATGCACGGCCCAACTCGAGGTTCACCAGATTTCTAATATCATGACTGCAACTAGAGAAAGTAGGTCAGGTTTCAGAAGCTGGTGAAACAACCACCTTCAGAAGCAAAAGCACCTCTTTATTTTTAAAGTGTAAATTTCCCTTCGTTATCCTTCCTTCACAAAGCATATTCATTTGCTAGCAAATGCAAGAAAATTTTGTGCAGTATCGACGCCATTTTTCCTACAGATTAAGAAGAAAGGGAGAAAGTGTGTCGATGTTATTTCCTTTTCAGATGCTGGGAAATATTTGTACTGTTGTACTGATTGTTCTGGAAAATTGCTAAGTGACAGGAATGTTTACTGATTTAAGAGACAGGAAAATTTTTATACAAAATTATCATAATTTGGTTTAATAACATTAATATTATACTAATAGGCTCAGTTCAAGTAGCTGAAACAATAACAAAATTTTGTTCTTTTAAAGGCTGGAGGTGACTGAAGATGCTGAAAGCACCCTGGCAGCAATGGATGATTCTTGCCTCAGTTATGGCCTGAGGGAAAGTATAGCTTCCTACCTCTCCTTAACAGGGGATGACAATACTTCTTTTGCAAGTGCCAGAAAGAAGAAAGCCCAATCTCTTATATACACAGGGAGCAAACGTAAGAGTGCCCTTCACTTGCCACCTACATACTATGAAGACTAAATTTAAGACAACAAGGGGAAAAAAGAACAACCAAAAACTGAGGGGTTAGGAGAGAAACCCAGAGCATCCTGTGGTCCTGCAGTCCTTTGACAGCTGAGAGATACAAGCACAACAGCTGATGATCAAACACTGGCACTGATTCTGTGTTTCCTCTTCTGAATGTTAACCAGAGACCTTCTTAAGGGTGCTATCTCAGCCACCGCATATGCTGGGAACACGCATCTGAAACTGGAACCTGCTTATAAGCAGGATGAACTGAGATAAACTCTAAGTCAAGAGGCAAATGACTCTCCAGCACGGGTGCTGCCCACCATTGTACAAAGTTCATTACACAGGAAAGGACTAACTACAGCTCAAGAACTTAATTTAAGTCTTACTCTGGTATCCTCCACAAGGCTGAAAACCATCTTTACAGCACCTACCTACACTGAGAAAAGGAGCCTTTTTCTTCTCCATATAGAATCATTCATTGTCATTGACAACGAGTCAGAAAGTCATCAATAACCCCAAGAAAGTGTCTGACATCTGGGATTCAAGAAACACCTGATCATATCGACTCCATGCTTCTGTCATTTTTACCTTTTAGCGGAAAAAAATAAAATCATGGACTTTTCAAGTGGCATTTAACTCAACTGCTGATAATGGCCTGCAGTGTCACAAAACGATCACAAAATTAAGAACAGGCTTAACTTGCTGACAAAAACAGTTTCTACATAATCCTGAGCTGAGAGTACAGGCATATCCAAAAGCATAACTCAGCTGCTTATAGTCTAGCAATATATAACAGAGAACAAAGGAGTTTCGAGTGAAAAGTGAAATGTGGTAATACCATGCCTAACTGCAAAGGTAGGCTTGCACAAGTGTGACTTCTTATGTGTAGAGACCAGATTTTAGCCTCGTGTCCTGAAGGCACCTCCATATTTATGTATAATATTTACATTAATAGCAGCTTTTTTTAAATAACTAAACTAAAAGAGCAAATCAGCAACAGTGGCTGTTAAAGAGCTTTCTGTATTTCTTGCCTGAAGTTATGTCAAATAGTAATGACACATTTCAGCAAACTGTTTGAAGATTTGTAACTGGGTTATCTGAAATTTCATGAATTAGAGAATTTTCCTATATATATGTATCCTTTGCTAAGTGACAAAGGTGCAGTTAGCATGGTCCTTTGAACCTCATTTGTGATTGCTTTCTAAATCAAGTAGTCACTCATATCTGGGGGTGTAAAATGCTGCAATCTATGTTCTCAAGCCAGGATCTTTTCAATCTAATATTCTGTCATACTTTTTTGCACAGATTTGAGTCATGAAGGTTTGGAGACATAGGGAATTGGGTTTTTTTATACATATCTATATTTCCTCTGTAAATACCTCTTAGCAAAAATATGCGTATTCTTTAGAACTTTTGCACTAGGCAAGAGAGATTCAGAGAGCAAAATAGTTGACAGCCTATTTAAACATATTTCAGAACTTAAAGGATGAATGTAATTTGGTTGGTAAACATTGAACATCACAAAGCAAAACAAGCTCAGGAACTCTAGGTGTTTGTATAATCTCATTACTGTTACTGATCATTAATATGTTATGGTGACTGCATTTTATCCAGTGAAATGTATATGGGGAGCATTACAGATTTTATGTCATGACTTGTATTTATTCATTAAAATAATATCCAGTAGTTACTTTGTATTGTTTTCAGAAAATGTAAAACCTAGCAGGCAACTAGTACAAACACCCAGTCTTGCAACGACATTGCCAGAAGGTATCTCTGCTGGAACGCGCCAAAAGAATCCAAGAGCCCATGTAAGTGGGCAGCACTTGGAACATGCTGTGTAGGAAGGGGATAAGACATGTTCTGATGATGACAGGTTCACACAATCACCTGGTGCAACCCCCCTGCTCAAGTAAGGCCACCTAGAGCTGGTTGCCCACGATCACGTCCAGATGGATTTTGAGTATCTCCAGGGACAAAAACTCCGCAACCTCTGCCGACGCTTGGTCACCCTCACAGTAACAACGTGACAGGGGGACAAAAACATGAATTGTGCCATAAGGGATGGCTGGATTTCATACATGGTTATGGGGAAATTCTGTGAGGTCTGGCCATTTCTCACCAATAACTGAAAGACTATATCGGTGACCTTTTGGGTCAACCTTGGTCTTTGGTGCCTTGATCTTGCAAGAGTCAACAGCACTGAAGGGTTTCTATACCTAAGAAACCATATGAGAAATACCAAATTTGGGTAGGGATGTAGCAAAACTGGGGTCAATGGAGAAAAAATAAGCAGAGGTGGTTGGTTTGTTTGAGAAGGAAAGAGGCTGGTAAATGGGGGGAAAAAAGGAGGTGGGAAAAGGGGGAAGAAAGGGGATCTAAAGGGTAGCTAATCATAGAATCAGGGATATTTAGGGTCCATGTCAGACATCTCTGCACCTGACTGCAGTAGTTTTCAGCAGGGTAATAAATCTGCTCTTTCCACCACTTGGCTGACCTGCTTCTGTGGCCAGGAGGGACCCAATGTCTTCCCTTGTATTGGCTGGAGGAAGCCTGGGAGCTCTCCTCCTGACACCCACAGGGGAATACCTGGAAGGGACACCTAGCATATCTGCCCTCCACAGGCTCCTGCAAGAGATGGAGGCAATCCATGCCTTGATCCACCCCTCTACATCAAAATTGTACTGGTAACTAAATCAATTAATCAAAAGGTGAAGTTGAACACCAGTTAAGTGACTTAAAACAAGACCATAATCACTGAGACTACTTTTTTTCTAATTACACTACTGAAAGATGAAATAAAAATTCCCCACGAGAGCTTTGCATTGATTTTGTACAATCTTTCGTACAAATTTTGTACAATCTTTTTTCAGATCTGTTCCAAACAAAGCCTATTATAGGGCAGACATAGGAAACTCAAAAGCATTTTGGTATTTCAGGTGCACATCTTCTTGTAGAGAAAGTTTCATACATCACACCTCTCTGCATGCTAAGAAACAGTATCGTTTTTTAATACATGACAAAGACCCAAACAAGAAGTGCAAAACTAACTTTTGCAGAAAAGTTGTATTGCTTCATGGGATTTTCCCTCAGGAAAGCTCTATCTGTGATCTTTTCTCAGTTTCATGATTCTTACTCTCAGTGCACCTCCTTTTTTTACAGTAAAAGTATGCAATGATTTTTGTGTCTTGGAACAAAAACAAGATGCATCCCTTTACAGGAGATCTAGGTGAGAAATCTGAGTAAACCAACAGTTGCATTCTGCATCATTTCATTACCCAAAACCAAATTTATAAAAAGTATATTCTGAAGCCACTGCTATTACTCTTGAGTTTTATTTTATCACTGTATTTCACAAGAAAACTAAATTCACTGTGACACTGTAAGAATGAATACTTATCATTACTTTGAAATAAGTGGAGATCCTGCTTTTGCCAAGACTGTGGTCTGCACAGTCCCAGGAAGAAAATTGTTGTTACAAACACCAAGTTAGTGGGAAGAATTCATGCACCTGCCTGCTCATCACACTTGCCATTTTTTTCCATTAGTCGATGTCCTGCTGTAAGAAAAAGGAGTTCAAACTTTATTTCATAAAAGAAAAGATATAATGTGGAACTACACTCCATAAATAACGATAAGCAAAGAGGTCCTTGCATTTCCCTTTCATCCGTTGCTCAACTGGTAAATTGCACTGTATCCTGTTACAGCTTTCACAGGGCCCAGTCCTAAGCCAGCTCAGTAAAGGGTTGTGACACCAGAGAAAGAGTAGGATGAAACTAAGAGATAAGAGCTCTGGGTCTACTAGCAAAATAACTGCTACGCCAAGAGCTTGGTGAAAATCTAGGAACTGTGTGAGGAATTGTCCAAGAATGACACAAAAAACCAACTACTGAACAGCAATTTTCAACAACTTCCTTTGCCTTCCCCACTAAAGCGACACAATTAGAATAACCTTACTGAGACATGGGAACGCAAAACGTGAGTTTTGTTTCCTAGTGCAAACACACGCTGAAGAAAAGGCAAGTAGTGAATAGAGATGTCATTATTTTCAAGGGAAGATTTTATTTAATTGGGCTCTAGGTTTCCTGGACCAAGAATTCTGTTCCTCTGCTCACTGTTCCAAGTTAACACCGCTAGCAGAGAGATCATTTCATCCAAATACCATTTCTGCTGGATATATAAACCTCCACCTCTCATCTGAGGCTGTAAAGACCAATGGTAGTATTGATGCTGACAAAGCTGATCTCAAAGTCCTGAGATTTGACACAGGAAGGGCTGTAAAAATACAGATCACTTGGGTTGACTGTGAAAATGGTCCAAGACGACAACAAACAAGCCCGTGGGTAAACGGATTTTTACTCTCTCTCTGAAACTTGCTTTTTCTTTTAAATGAAATTTCATGAGATCAGATAAAAAGATTGGATACTTTACACATGCGGATGTTTGGCTCATCTGTTTTAGAGTCTAAAAACTGCTGATCAACAACTGTATTTATGGAATGGAAACTAACCTGTTGTACCTTTAAGTTATGAAACAAGACTATTTATATAATACACCAAAAAACCACAGTGACGAAAACTAGAGTCTTACTATGACTAAATCAGTCACCAAAGCGCATCTCTTGTACATCCTTGTGAAGAACTCAGTTCCTGGAGATAGCACTCACAGGTGAGACGAAAAATAACCATAGCAGTAACAGTCCTATTAGTGCTGCCAAGGTATGGATGAAATAAAACCAGCACCCACACACGGCAACATTCTCACGTCTGTAACAACGTCCTTTCACAATGAAGTTGAAGTAGCA